AAACCACCAGTTCTTGTCCCCGTTGATAGGGTCCTTAGGATCTGACGTTTCGAAGTAGCGGTAGTTGAGGTGGACTGTCGGAGCCATGGGATTGTGTGGGTGCAAGACCAGCGAGAGGCCAGCGGCAAAGAAATCCAGCGAGTCCACATCTGAGCCAACGAAGGACTTGTGGTCGGCACGCATCTTCTCAATGGCTGGTTTGGGTAATTTGCCGTACACCACGGAGACGTTAACACCCGCCTTCTCGAAGACATTCCCGTCCTGCAGCACACATGAGACGCCGCCGCCGCCATTGGGGCGGGTCCATGTGTCCGTCTTGAATTGTTTGCCATCGATTCTGCCTAGTTCCTCGATAATCTTCTGCTGGTGTTGCTTGATGAGCTTCTCCATCCGTAACCGCATCGGTGAGGACTCGCTGATTTTCGATGATTGCTTCAGGGCCTCATCCACCTCAACCATGGATGGAGCGTCGAGTTCCGTAACTTCTTCTGTCATCTGGAATAAATGAGCAAATTGATCTCGCATTCTGAAGCGCGCGTGTCTGTCATACCATTGAGTATAGAATTGCGCCAATGAAAGGCACGCCAAAGGCGAGGCGCAAGTATGGCCTCCAGACAGTGAATGGCTTCGGCTCACGCGGTTGCTGCTTAGTGGAATATCCGCGGAAAGAGGGACCAGCACGATGACCAGCAATGCGAGGGCTTCGAGCAGACACCTGCGCCAACGACCTCCGCAGAGGCATATATGATCGGGTGGCCATTTTTGGAATAGGATTGGCTGCGCGAATGCCTGCCAGCACAAAGAAAGTATCAAAAAGTCAATGATTCGGGGATTTAAACCGATGGATTAGCAATCCAAACCTATAGAGAGAATGATTTGAGGAAGAAGTTGAATTGAGTCAATAATTCAGCAAAATACCATGCAACCTCGGTCTCAAATCGTACGACTTTCTTAGAGCTGAGTTTGACCTGTTTGGCTGGATGAGATAAGCACGATAAGCGGCCCCAGGGCCTGGGGAAGTTGAGATAGGCACCGGGGCAGTACGCACATGTAAGCCCCGGTATTTGTGAGATTGATTGTATTTATTTATTACAGACCTGACTAACCTGACTAGTATATTGAGAGGTATACGGAGTACTAGTATGCTTGTAAATAATATATATGCCTTGCTATACACGTGAGCAGAACCATCGAGACATCTGATTTCTGCCTCGTGACTATTGACTCACCGCCCATGGATCCCGTGATGGTATTACTGTAACGTCAGCGGGGGAGTTGCCTTGTCATCCTCTTATCACCCCTCTCCATCTCTCTCTTTCTACTTTCTGCGATATACCTCACACCCAGAGCTCTTCTCATCAATAAAGCCACTACTACTACCAACTTCACACCAGAGCTTCCTGGTGTTTTGATCTTACTCTCCACCCCGACCCGCTCTCACTTATCGACCCTTATCAGTCACGATGCGATCCAAGTTCAAGGACGAGCACCCCTTCGAGAAGCGAAAGGCCGAGGCCGAGCGCATCCGCCAGAAGTATGCCGACCGGATTCCCGTGAGTATCTTTGATTTCAGGAGGTTTTCTCGAAGGAGGTGGTTGCTGCAACCAACCTTTCAGACCCTCACCGCTTGTTTGGTATCTAACGGACTTTCAACCCATAGGTCATCTGCGAGAAGGTCGAGAAGTCGGATATCGCCACCATCGACAAGAAGAAGTACTTAGTGCCGGCTGATCTCACCGTGGGGCAGTTTGTCTATGTGATCCGCAAGCGCATAAAGCTCTCCCCCGAGAAGGCTATCTTCATCTTCGTTGATGAGGTCCTCCCTCCAACTGCTGCACTCATGAGCAGCATCTACGAAGAGCACAAGGACGAAGATGGTTTCTTGTACATCACGTATGTTTTCCTCCCCTTTTATCTTTTCTTTTTGTTAATAAAATGAAATTATACTGACATAACGGTTAGATACTCGGGCGAGAACACCTTCGGTGACCTGTAGAGGTTGTCTAATCTCTCTCATTTGCTTTGCTGTTCGGCCACTCTGACCTTCATGAGTGAGTCAATGATGGATGAACGAGCAGACACGAAATCTTCTGCGACCTTGGGATACTGGTTTTGGGGTCACTGGCGTTTCATTCGGTGTTCTACGCATTTTTTTTCTTACTTTGCTTGGCAATTATGCTCTTTAGCTGCAATTACAATCATTATGAGCCTTTTCTGGTTGTGGTAATATTCTGGGATTCTTTTGTCGGTTTTCTTTTTCGTGTGCTCAGTTGAGCAATGACAGAGCACCAACCTGGAAACAAACCACAGATCGGGCTAGATCAAGTGTTTACAACTAAGAGCAATATGATTTTTATTTTTTATTTGGCCATAATCTAATTAATAAGTAGCCATATCTACTTTCTCTACTTTTGATATAAAACTATATAGTGGAGTCTATAGTATGTACTGTATACTTACTGAGAATGATGACTAGTTAATATTCCTAGTATATAATTATAACCTGCCCCTGGACTGGCGAGTTATACACTAGGCTAAAAAGACCACTATATCTGAGCATTGCGCTCAGATGTTCTAGACTCCGATATATATATTGCGACATGACATATATATATATATATATATATATATATATATATATATAACTATGGAGTATTTCAAACGCTAACCCTAAAGGTCTTCTAGACACGCCAAGCATATATAAGATATTAGCGCTGCAGTTTAGCAAACTATTTCCTGCATATAATCCGCATGCTAATATCGTAGGGGTTCGTTTTCGGTTATTTTAAACTGACACATTCCGGTGCGGCGCTGATTGCACCTATTTCCATGATACTGTGGGGTTATTTAGATTATTTGTATGGAAAATGAATCTATACATATGTGTATATATATAGATGGATTTATATTCCTGGAAATGAAAAGATTAGACAATTCTACAATTCAGTTCTTGATACGGAGTACATCTATTATAATGACATACAGCAAGTATATGTACCATCCTCTCGACCTTTTTCAACAACTCCTTGGCTCTCCGATGGCGGCTCCAAAACGGGACTAGTGCCAAATCCTGCCTCGATAAAATTTAACTCCGAGCACATGTTCCTGAACCCATCATCGGCGTTGTCATTCTCTTGCTTTGTCTTTTTTGGGATTTCTTTTAAAATTGGAAAACATGTCTCCTGTTATTGCCCCCAGTGCTGGCGCCGCCTCCAAAGATGTTAAAAAGGAGTCTGCTACTGCTCGGCTCCTTGGTTCCGGTACGTCCTCAGATGTTCAAAATACGAACTCATTACTGACTTGTGACTCTTCTAGGCTCTGCCGGTATTGCTGAGTTGATGATCTTCCACCCCGTACAATTTTCTCCGATACAAGACCCATTGCGACCAGACACTGACTTCCATAGGTTGACACCACCGCTAAGCGATTGATGAGCAACCAGACCCGGGTGAGATTTGGATTGTTTACAGATGAAGGTGTGCCCATTGCTGACTGGATTTTTGATAGATTGCCAACGCTGCCGCTTTCAAGCAGGTTGTTTTCAGGGAGCATGTCAATGCCTCAATCGGTCGCAAGTTCACCTCTCTGTTCCCCGGTCTTGGATACGCTGCCGGTTACAAGGTTCGTGACCCTTACAGCAGAAGAATGGGAAAACGACTAGCTTATACCATTCCGAATATACAGGTCCTCCAGCGCATCTACAAGTACGGTGGTCAGCCTTTCGCACGCGATTACCTCGCTCAGCACCACGGTGCCGACTTTGATAATGCATTTGGCAAGGGTACTGGAAAGGCCATTATGCACGCCACTGCTGGAAGGTAAGAACAATTGAACAATTGGACGTGAAAATATATCTGACTTGAATCTCTTTTTTAGTTTGATCGGAATTGGAGAGATTGTTCTGCTTCCTCTGGATGTTCTTAAGATTAAGCGCCAGACTAACCCCGATGCCTTCCGTGGCCGTGGCCTTTTCAAGATTGTTGCTGATGAGGGTATGGGTCTGTACCGTGGTGCTGGCTGGACTGCCGCGCGTAATGCCCCTGGCTCCTTCGCTGTATGTTTTTAGTGTCCTAGTCTGCTATCACCGAACTACCACTAACTTGTTTATAGCTCTTCGGTGGATCCGCTTTCGCCAAGGAAAAGATTTACAAGCTGACCGATTACAACACTGCCACATGGGGCCAGAACTTCGTCGCCTCAGTCTGCGGTGCTAGCGCCTCCCTGATTGTGTCCGCTCCCCTCGATGTTATCAAGACCCGTATCCAGAACCGCAATTTCGAGAACCCCGAGTCTGGATTCAAGATTGTCTCCACGATGCTCAAGAACGAAGGCCCTACCAGCTTCTTCAAGGGTCTGACCCCTAAGCTACTGATGACGGGTCCCAAGCTGGTCTTCAGCTTCTGGCTGGCACAGACTCTGATTCCCGCTTTCGGTCAGGTTGTATAGAGACCATTTTTATAATAGCTGCATCTTCCCTTTTATTTCTCCTCTCTTCGTTTGGGTTCAATTACCTGGACTTTTGTATTTTTCATAGTCTTTTGTTTCCTGGATCTACTTAGGTAGCTTACATTTTCTGAATGGACGAACTCACTCTACTTTAACATGGCTTCATATCATACTTTGAAGACCCTGGAGTTCTTTAAATGACAAATCCTTTATTATATCCCTACATAGAAAATGTCATCTGCACCTTCTACGCTTTAACCAGCGTTTTCCTGCCAGCCACCTATAGAACTGAGAGGATACACAAAAAATCCTTTAAAAGAAAAGAGATCTAAAAAGGACATCTGAGAAGACTGCCAAAAAGTACATCACAGGGCCGCATAAGCGACCGACTATTCTTTTCTATTTGAATGACATTAATTCTAGATATTGACATAGAAATAACTACATGAATAAGACAGGATGTATAGTGGGAATATCAATATACAAAACCAATAAACGAAAAAATAAAAATAAAACGCACATGTAAAATGAAATGGCACAAACTTCAGTCGTAGGGCATTCCACTAACCAGTAACAGAACTTCTTTGCTTTGCTAGCCAGCCCTTGGAATCTCCCGTGCTGGCTCCATGTCGATATCGTGATACCGTCATATTGTTGTTCTGCCACCGGCTCTGAAGGTGATACCAAGCCGAGCCCACAAGGTCGAGTTCTCGGGCCTGGCTGTCAATAATATTCTGAAGCTCAAGCTAAGAGGGTCATCAGCATCATGCTAAAATCCAACAGAATCAAAGCATATACAGCTCCATCTTTGACTTACCTCTCGCTCTTTGGAAAGGCCATCGTCTAGGTTTTCCTCATAGTTCTTCATACGTTCACGAAGTGATTTGACCAGCTCATTTTGTTGCTGAATATACTGTAGAACCAATCCAGAGTTAGCAAACCAGAAGATACAGCGCATATAATTTGTGGAACTGACCTCTGCACGCTGAGCAAGTCGTTCGACGTTCTTCTCCAGAACTCCCGCACACTGTTTCAAGAGCTCAAAGCTTGATTTCTGGGGCACTTCGCCACCCTCCGTATTGTGGGTTTCAAACTCGCCTAGGAGCATCTGCATCTCGTTCATCACTTCCTGGTCCTCGGAGCTGATCTCGCTTTGCTTGTTGTCGAGCATCTTGCGCAGTTCCTCTCGTTCCGCACAGACTTCGCGCACCAACGTCTGGCTGGCATCAACTTCGGCTTCTAGGTTATGGACGTTCTGGGTAAGGCTTTCCCAGTCATCCCGGATTTTCGTTAATTCAGCTGAGTTATGCGATTCGAGTCCTTGGAGCATCTCGACCTGTTCCATATTTACAAAGCCAACTTCAGGATTTGTAAGTCACATGTTTTTCCTTATATATGTAGAACCAGAGCAATCTTTGACTTACGTTCAGCTTGTGTATCAGAAAGGTCCCTTTTGGTTGTTTCCAAGGTGTCCTGAACCTCTGCAATCTTCTTGAGAGCTCCAATATAGTTCTCGTACAGTTTCCAATAGTCGTCGCTGCGATACATGTTAGATATTCTATTCATCAAGACGAAATGCTGGGTAATCAAACCTTTGGGTGGAACCGGAGCGCGCCAGGTGCACGGATGCAGCAAAGTTTTCAGAGAAGCCTCCAGTATGAGAAGCGGGCTAAGGGTTGTCAGTACCAAGGGGAGAATTGCAGAGAATATATCGTACACGTACAGCTGAAGATGCTTTGAACGACTCCATTTCCCGCTTCAAGTCATCATTTTCAGATTTACTGTCAATAGTTAGCATCCAATAAGACTACGACGGCGTTTCGTACACATACAGTTGTGACTCTTTGACACCAAGTGCCTCAAAGTCCTTCTGCAAAGTCCCTTGCATCTTTGGCGTCTCAGAGCCAGGCGACGAGCTGCCCGGCAAGCCGTCCAGTTCTCCCAGGCGTTCACGTAGTTCGCTGATCAAAGCATCATCTCTCTCGTGCTGTTCGTCCGCACTTTCTAGTCGCTCTGTTAGCGCATGATTATTGAACTCGAGTTGTTTCTTTAGATTCTGGATCTCATTGCATTCCTGCTCAACTTGTGGCAGAAGCTTGCGATATTCTTCTAGTTCCACATCGCGCTCTGAAGACCACCGCTGCTGCGAGTCTGACTCTTTCAACTGTTGCTGAAGATCTTTGATTTGGTTCTTGAGTGTCTGGTTTTCTTTCTCAAAGTCTTGGCTGGCTTGCAGCTTTTGGCGGTATTTCTCGGCCGCATTTGCCTTGCGCGCGAGTTGATCCTTTTCGGTGCGAAGCTCATCATAGTCATCCTGCAGTTTCTGATAGCGCTGGTTCTTGACCCGCAAGGACTCAACTGTCATCCGAAGACTGTCGATTTCGTCCTGGGCAGCGGTCAACTTCGCTTCCTGGGAGGCAATTAGATCGTCTTGTTGACGGGTCTTGCTTTCCAATGCCTTTGCATTGAAGCCGATATCACCCTTTCCAGATTTCAATGTAACCAGCCGGTCCTCGGTGGAGGCGAGCCGGTTTTGTAGGGTATCATTGTTCTCCTGGAGACGCGCTAAACGATTGTGCAAGTCCTCCAGTGCCTTTTCCAGTTCTTTTTTCTCGTGTGTTAGACGGTCGTTCTCTGCGAGTACCTTTCCAACGCGTTCTTCGAACTGCAGCTCCAGGTCCACAGGGCGATCGTGCTTGGCCAGATCTTCCCTGAGCTCGTCGGCAGCGTCCATTGGCTCGTATTGGCCATTGTGTGCCTCCTCAATAATATCCCTGAGCCCCTCTTGAGTTGAAGTGCTTAGTTCCTGAAGTGTTTGTACGTATGTTCCGGCATTGGGGGAGCTGATGGCCGCGATCAGGAGAAGCTTCAGTAGCTTGTTCGTTTCCTTAGCAGAGGCTTTTTCGGCGATAGCTTCGAGATCGGGCGACGGATCAAGACCGGAGGGTAGGATGTCATCGTTTTGGTGTCGAATGTAGTTGAGTAATAGTTTGTGGATGTGCTTCAGGTTCTGCCACTTGGCCACCCAATGGTCGGAAGAGTTGCGCTCTGGGATTTCTTCAAGGAAATACTGAGGGTCAATATCCTGGAGGATCTCCCACAGGATGATTCCATCGGTCAATTCATCAGCGGCTCGGAGAGTTTTGCCCAAGGAGAAGCTGTTGATCCATTCCAACAGAACCTTGGTCACCGTGTGTTCCGACGCCATTTTGACGATTGACGCGTTTAATCGAGTGTCAAAGAAGCCAGCAGTTCCAGCAGTTCCAGCATTTCCAAGCCTCTAAAGCGAGAGATTACAACTCAAAATGCCTCGGTGGCTCTCTCTCTCTCTCGGGAGTTTCAAGCGGATCCACGCGCGTACGGGGGGCCACAAGGACGGGAATTAACTAGCGGGGAGGATGATCGGCCCTATGTTGTCCATGCTCTTTGATTTGCAACGAAGTATATAACTTAGGGTTTGAATTGGAAATAATACATTGCGATAATGAATACATACTATTCTTTTTAAGTAGATCGCAAGAAACCAGTAAACCTATCAGTAAGTTTGCCCACCTGAAGCCCCGTAGCTGAAGCGTAAAGGCACAACCATTTACTCCACATTGTATACACTCAAACGCCGAGGTATTGAATCACCAAAATAATCCCACAAATGTCCCTCTTATTGGTTCATCGCATCATGGGTTTGCCTCCAGACGTCATGATATGCTCAGAGCCGTGAGATTTACAACCCCACGATCTTCATTGGAGAGGGCATATTAAACTGCAGCCACATAGTCTCCGTATGCACTCACAACCTGATCTTCTTCGATATTCGGTTTGTATTGAGTATCCTGCGTGGATAGGGTCTGGAGAGCGCTCACGGGAGCCTCGGCGGCGAAGCCACTAAAGCCATAGTTAGAAAATGGGCCATAAAACAGAAATCTCGGTTGAAATTGTACTTGATTAAATCTGCGTAAGAAATGTATGTTAGCATCAATGAAATGATATCTCTATATCTAAATGTGGGCAAGGGAGAACATACGGTATTCATGTGTGATGACGCCACCCTAAAAGTGTCAGTCCAGTGTTATTACAGCTCATGGTAGCAAAGAAGCACTGCGTACTGAAGCCACCAGGGATGATTTGGCCTGGGTAACCACCGAAGCAGGCGTTCCCTTGGGGAAAGTAATGATGACGGACTTGATCGATCCGGCCAGTGCCAGCGGTAGAACAAGCAGGGTAGCAAATGTAAGCTTCATGTTGAAAAATGCAAAAATATCTCCCAAATAAATTTGAATGTATACAGAGTCAAGGTAAGTTAGTATTCCAAGATTGTCTCAAGAACGGAGAACCTGAATGCGATCCTCGGGACTGGCGTCATTATCTGATCACATGACTATACACTCTGACAATCCCTTTCTCGTTGGCACATCCACCTCATCACTTCACCTCACTTCCCTTCCTTTTTTTTTTGACCTTCAATTTTCATTGCTTCACTACTCCACAGCGCTGTTTTCTTGCATTTACCCAGTCCTGGTAGTCTCGTTTATTTCTTCATTTTCCGCTCCCCGCATCTGCCTAATTTTTCCCGCGGCTTTTTGGCCTAGCATTTCTTCCCTCGTTCCATCACCCCTCGGACATTCTTTGACTGGTAGATACAAAAGGGCGCTGGAAGGTCACGGGTTGGGTTGGACTGAGAGCAAGCGTTTTGATACCTATTGTTTTCTCAATTCTCGCGAAGATAGCTAGCAAGCATTTACAAGTTCCGACTATTTCTCCATCTTTGCGTTGATCCAAGAGAATTTGTTCCTTGGAACGAGGACAAGGATTAAGAAGAAAAGAAGACAGTCTTGATAGTCACAGGAAAAAGGACAGGCAGAAGCCAAAGGGAAGAAGAAAAGAACAATCAAACTCGAAAGCACACACAAAGACACAGAAGAAAAAGAGCGTTACTTCTGCCTTGATATTGATTTCTGCTCTCGGCATCTCTGATAAATCCAGATCACTCTCGACTCATCCCACATCGCCATAATGTCCGGCCTCGTTTCCGACGAAATCGCGGAGGACTACAAGAGTTCCTTGGAGGATCTAACTACCAATGATGGAATTCAGATCCGCACTCTGACAGTCATCGCCAAAGAAAATACTGAGCACGCAATGGCCATATCCCGGGTCCTGGAGAACCACATTCGAACAGTAGGTGCTCCTGGTTGTTTTTTTTTTTTTGTTTTCGTTGTTCTTTTTGTTTTTTGAAGCGTAGTACAGGATGAGTACTAACCACTATGTAGACACCACCCCTACAGAAGCTTCCAGCCCTCTACGTAGCCGATTCTATCGTCAAGAACGTTGGAAGCCCTTACACCCTCTTCCTTGGCCGGAATATGTACCAGACATTCATGAATGTTTACACTCTGGTTGATGGAAACACCCGAAAGAAGTTGGATGAGATGCTTAAGACATGGAAGGAGCCGGCCCCAGGCTCCTTGGAATCACGCCCAGTATTCCCCCCCCGACATCACACGCAACATCGAGAGTGCTCTCATCAAAGCACGCACTGCGGCTTGGCAACAACAACAGGCCAGGGCCCAACCAGACATCATCGGCCGTGTTCGTGGAAATGGGACTCCGACTGGGTGGACCAACAGCCCTACACCATCTCAGAACATGTCTCGGCCTTCACAAACCCACCAGCATCTTAACAATGGTCATTCCAATTCGGCAAGTCTACTTTCGTCTGTATATCACATTCAACGCTAATCTGGGCCTCACAGACACCTCCCCAGACCCATCGACAAGATATTGATTTGAGCTACCTCAATCGAGACGTGGATGCCCTTATCACTTCTGCTAAGATTGACTTTGCTAATAGTCCTTTTAATCCCGTCTCTCAACGACGCTTGAAAGCGTTGGTGGATCTTCAGGCCATTCTACAGAAACAGCAACTCGCCCCGGATCAGTTGAAACTTGTCCGCGATCAGGTCTCTGCCCTTGCTGCCACAAGACCGCCATCGGTCGCCCCTAATACCGCTACGAATGGCTCGGTGTCCGCCCCTCCACAAATCTCCACACCACCACCGCAACCAGCGCAACCAGTCTCGCAGCCCCTTCATCAAATATTAAACCATAACACACTAGCTGAGCTGATCAAAGCTACTGCTTCGCGTCAACAATCCACTCCACCATCTCAAATCCCGGCAGCGCTGCCTCAGATGCCCCAATATCCTCACCAAAGCGGCCCTTCACAGCCAGCGCCGGAGAATCCCCTAATTGTGGCCTTGAGGGCACGTGGACTTCTACCTGGTGGACCGACACCCTCCGCCCTTACGCCTTCGACTTCGACACCAGTTACTGGTAGATCGAATTTACCGTTCATCTTGCCCCATGGAATGCCTACACCCCAAGCTCCAACCCAAACTTCAATCCCCTTCAATGGATCCTCTGGAGTCCCTATGACCACCGCGTCTATGAAGATCCCTCGATTCGGACTTATTGTCTCTCTTTATGATTCCCGACCGAACCGATGTGGAACTTGCGGCCGTCGCTTCCTGGCTACGAACGAAGGCAAGGAAATGAAGGCCCGGCATTTGGACTGGCATTTCAAGACCAATCAACGCATGACTGAGTCGTCTAGGCGGGCTCAGAATCGCAGTTGGTATGTTGACGAACGGGTATGTTGATTGTCTTGTATCCTCTTCACGTTTTATCTCTAATTCCAATAGGACTGGATCAAATCCCGGGAGGCTGGCGATGAGAACGGCGCAGCGGATCCCCAAGCCAACTCTGAAGGAGCTGCAGGTATGGATGGCAATACCAAGCAAGAGCCGCCAAAGCCGTGGATTCGAGCTCCCAACGATGCTACTATCCGCAACACCCCGTGCCCGATATGCCAAGAGAAGTTCGAATCGACTTGGTCTGAGGATGTCCAAGACTGGATCTGGCAAGACGCAACTAAAGTCGGAAGTCGTGTGTATCATGCCAGTTGTTATTCTGAAGTGACCAAGGGCCCTGCCCCGACGCGCCAGACACGGACTACCACGCCTGACTCTGTCCTGGGCAAGCGGAAAGCTGAAGTGAGTTCCTTTGAGAGTGTTGGATGTTCCAGAGAGCTAACTATACATTAGGGAACTGAATCTCCAAGCCAGAAGACGCGCATCAAGACGGAGATCTGATCTTTTTTGTACCATACTTCAACACAATTACTCTTGCATTGCATAGGGAGCATGTCCCTGGCGTTAATTAGCGAATTGATTCCTTTTACTTGCAACGAAGTGTACAAGAAGTGTTAGCGTTGCATCCTCGTAGACTGCCCCGCTCGGCACTTCCCCTCCATATTTTTCTCCCTCCCCCCCCAAAATAAATTCCTCTCGATGTAAACTGCGTCTTCTTTAATCTTTTCATCAAGTCTTGTACCTTTCAATCAACTCTTCCTATCAAGTTTACTCTTCCCATCATGGCGCCACACATTGCTCGATGGGGTATCATGGGTATGAATGATATCTTGTTATGAGAAAAACAAAAATAAAGCTAACTGATTAAATAGCCACTGGCTGGATCGCTGAGAGTAAGATCTCACTGCTACAATAACCGGGTGTATAATACAAGAATTCATGAAATAACCCATCACCAATAGCATTCGTAAACGACCTTCTCATCGACCCTAACGCCCGCGATGCCTCTGACGTAGCCCACCAAGTCGTTGCCGTCGCCTCGTCCTCGTCCAAGGACAAGGCGGAGCAATTCATCTCTGCTCGAGGAATCACAACGCCTTGCTCCGCATATGGTGACTACGAGACTCTCGTGGCCGACCCCAACGTTGATGTCATCTACATCGCGACTCCGCACTCCCACCACTACCAGAATGCCAGACTAGCGCTGGAGGCGGGCAAGAATGTTCTCTGCGAGAAAGCCTTCACCGTCAACGCTGCCCAGACTAGGATTCTCGTTGAGATTGCCCGCAAGAAGAATCTCTTCCTTATGGAAGCTGTCTGGACTCGCTACTTCCCCCTCAGTATTCAGATCCGCGAGCTCATTGAGAAGGGCGAGATCGGTGAGGTTCTTCGTGTCGTGGCTGATACGAGCTTCGGTGATGATGTTGAGACGAAATGGGGTACCACACACCGCATGGTGAACCCAGATTTGGCCGGTGGTGCTCTCTTGGATTGTAGGTTTTCTAAGATTTTTGTTCATTGATTGCCCTGGCCCCTTTCCCCCGGAGCACAGAAAGAGAAAGAAAATATCGATTGACTTGCTCTTCTAGTGGGTATCTACTCCTTGACCTGGGTCTTCCAGACTCTATACCACACGCTGCCCCGAGACCAGAGAAAGCCACCCATTGTCTCCTCGCAGATGACTCCTTATCACCTCACAGGTGCAGATGAGTCCACAACCATGCTCCTGAGCTTCCCCACAAGCACACCCTCCAATGGCCCGCACCCGCACCAGTCGCACGGTATAGCTATGACCAACATTCGTGTCTCCGCTGATCCGGATGAGGAGGGTTCGAGTGGTCCTTGCATCCGTATTCAGGGAACCAAGGGCGAGGTTCAGGTGCGCGGCCAGCCTTTCCGACCGGAAAGCTACCGTATCATTCCCAAGAAGGGTGGCGGTGAGATCCGTGATGTTCAGTGTCCGTTCCCTGGTAATGGTAAGGGTATGTACTGGGAGGCTGATGAGGTTGCTCGTTGTCTCCGCGATGGCAAGCTTGAGAGTGAGGGCTTGCCATTGGAAGAAAGTATCGTGATTATGGAGGTAATGGATGAGGTGCGGAAGCAGGGTGGTTTGGCCTATCCTCAGCAGATTGAATCGACTGAGTATCCTCTACAATTTTAGGTGCAGGTTACATGGCAAGTTTAAATAACACTACATAGTACATATTATTAGATGAATGCATATAACACATACCCATGTGTTGCCTCGTTAAGTCATGAATGGAAATAACGCTCAAGACTACACGATTTACTAAAATCCCAATTGAATTTAAGCCGGTCTTGAGTGTATTCAGTACTCAAAGGTACAGACATACTACTATACATGGCGGTCAAAGGGATAAACCCAGGTCTATATGTGGACGAAAACGCCAGCCATGCTTCCGGTGTGCCCAATTAAGAAAAACATAGGGGAAAAAGGTAGGCATCACGGAGCGTGGACTGGTAAATTGTCCCAAATTACCCTCCCAAATTCCCTTTTTTGAAAGAAATCAATCCAACAGAATCGCTTACTGGCGGAAGACTCCAAGAATGCTCTTCCAGACCTGGCCAGGCTCCTGGCTGGCATCAATGCCGCGCCAGATACCGGTGTTCTTGTAGTAGTCGACAACGGGGGTGGTCTGCGCGTGGTAAGTGGCCAGACGCTTGGTGAGGGTATCGGCATTGTCATCGGAACGCTGGATCAGCGGCTCTCCGGAGATGTCGTCCTTCATGTCAGCCTTGGGCGGGTTGAAGATCTTGTGGTACGAGCGGCCGGAGGCAGGGTGGACCAGGCGGCCGGTGATACGAGCCACCAGTAGAGAGTCATCAATCTGCAGCTCAATGGCGTGCTGAAGCTTCTGCTCACGGGAGCTGAGCATGTCATCGAGACGCTCGGCCTGCGCAACCGTGCGGGGGAAACCATCCAGAATGAAACTATCCACCTTTCGCGTTAATTCTGGTCGGGGCTCGTAAGAAAATAAATTGGGGTGGAGAAAGGGAGTGCAAATGTACGCACCCGTTCTTGCACTCTGCGTTGTTGTCTAGTTCGCTCTTGATCATGTTGACCATGATCTCGTCGCTGACGAGACCACCCTGATCCATGATCTTCTTGGCTTCCTTTCCAAGATCAGTCTTCTTGGCAACCTGGGACCGCAGCATGTCTCCGGTGGCCTATTCAGGAAATATATCAGCGGGAAGAGCTTATGCTGTACTCGGGCAAACTTTACTCACCAGGTGGCACGCGCAGTACTTTTCCTTAAGGTTCGGGGCTTGAGTACCCTTTCCTGATTAAAATTGTTAACATCCATCACCTTTTGTCCAGTTATAGTTCAATCGCATACCTGCACCAGGAGGGCCCATTAGGATGATGCGCATCTGCTCAGCGGCAGACTTGGGCTTGCCGCCATTGGCGAGACGGCTCTCAAGCTCGGACACCTTCGCCTCCAGCTGGTGGATGGTGTTCTTCAGACCGGAGACGGCCTCTTCAGTGATGGGAGCCATGATAATTTGTAAGAGGGGAGAGGTTTGAAGAAGAGAAAGACTGCCGGGGAAACGGAGAAAATGGGGAAAGGGAAGATTCGCAAGGAACTTAGCGCCCGAGGTTCGGAGAGCACGGGCTTCAGAGGGCAAGTCCCCAAGTAAAATAGTACATACAATTTGCAGGAGATGATGTATACGGAGTACAGAATTACATCCTGATGCAATTGATGTTTAGTATTTATAAAATATCTTCTATATTATATATTCTATATAATCATTGATCTATTTATGTACATATTTCAAGCTTCCTCTATTTTTTTTTCCGAGGGCGAATTGCCTACCTAGGTGAGATGCCCACAGGTGGCTGCTTACTAAAGTCTCCAGCCTCAATATGGCGCAGCGCTGTGGCGGAGAGCTCTCAAGAGCACCTGTGCATCATCGCTTCTCATCCACTGCATTCTCCTATCTCGCGTTGATTTGCTGTTTCATTGGATTTTATTTGACCTACGAGCCTTAGTCGTCCCTTATAGCTCTCAATTTCTTTTCGCCTTTTCACTCTTTCATGATGCCTGCCACCACGGCAGACACGCTATCCCTCGTCAACCGCTCCGTGACGGTTGCCCCGTTAGTCCTCCTCTCCGTCGCAGATCACTATGGGAGAACGGCAAAGGGTACCCGGAAACGTGTTGTAGGTGTGCTGCTAGGTGAGAACTCGGGCGATAATGTCCGGGTATCAAACAGTTTTGCTGGTGAGTGCAAGCTTCGGTGCGTCAAGCCCATACAACAGATGAGCTGACATTTGTGTTTTCTCTCTAGTCCCATTCGAGGAGGATGAAAAGGACCCATCAGTGTGGTTCTTGGACCACAACTTCGTCGAATCGATGAGGGATATGTTCAAGAAAATCAATGCTCGCGAGAAGCTTGTTGGCTGGTACCACTCGGGTCCTAAGCTGCGCGCTTCGGATTTGGAGATCAATGAGCTCTTCAAAAAATACACGCCCAACCCCTTGCTGGTTATTGTCGATGTACAACCGAAGGAAGTTGGTGTGCCTACAGATGCTTACTTCGCTGTAGATGAAATTAAGGATGTGAGTTTGAATTCAATCCCGAGGAAAGCACCCACCAGGCCACCAGCGCTAATCAGGGCTCTTTTGCACTTGCAGGATGGAACAACAACCTCCCGGACATTTGTGCACACCCCGTCGATAATCGAGGCAGAAGAAGCAGAGGAAATTGGCGTGGAACACCTCCTCCGGGACATCAGGGACGTCGCAGTCGGCACACTTTCCACCCGTATCACGTCGCAGCTGCAGTCACTGCAAGGATTGCATCTGCGACTACGCGATATCGGACAATACCTCCAGAAAGTTCTCGACAAGGAACTTCCCGTCAACCACGCTATTCTGGGCAACCTCCAAGATGTGTTCAACCTCCTTCCCAATCTGTCCACCCCACCAGCGACACAGCGGACCAACGGCCAGGAGCCACAAATCGAGAATAGCGAATTGGCACGGGCCATGAGTGTCAAGACTAATGACCAGTTGATGGCTATCTACATCAGCAGCTTGATCCGTGCTATCACGGCTTTCCACGACTTAATCGATAACAAGATCCAGAACCGACAGCAGCAAGAGGAGAGTGAAACCAAGCGGGACCAGGATGCCAATGGAACTAAGGGAGACAAGGATGCCAAGAAGGCTGGTTCGCCAAATGGCGAACAGAAGGAGGAACAGGATACCTCTGACAAGAACAAGAAGAACTAAGAGACGTTTTTTTTTTTTTTTTCTTTTCTTAATTTATTCTCTTTCAGAAAGAATTGTCAATTCAAGTAAAGCCATATGATATTTCAACCAATTTCCCCCTCACCCCTCTTTCTTATATCTTGCCATGTATAGTGGAATAGTGATGAAGGTCAATATCCTATTAACAGTCCAAGATTATCCATTTCGTACAGTGAACAAATACTTTATTTTCTCTCTTTCTGTAAACTGTATATATTTCAAGTACACCCGAAATAATTGAAACTGCCATTGACGTATCATGCCATCATTCCGCAATCGTAAGAGCTCGGGGAACAAGTCCCCCATATGTGGCCAGCCGACTTCTGTGTTGTTCAACGATTGCCCTGGACATGGGCAGATGGTTCATATGTAATGCAAAATGGTACGTAGTAAAGTGCATAATAATACATCATGTGCATCAGATTTTGTTGACGTGTCAAAAGCTAAGCAAATCAACCACCCCAACCAGCACACCAGCCTGCCAATTCCTCCATGGGAACTACGAATCTGCCATCTCCATCAACCCCGAACAGCTCAGGGCACCGTGCATGCAAAATGCAGGCTAGAATATGTTTGCAGGTAGGAGGCGCTATCCGAGCCGTACCACGAGCTAGCGTTCCGCCAAATGAGTAGGCCAAGTGGTCCTGATCGTTTGTCGGATGATTCACCGGAGGCGGAGAGTCTCGGTACGCAGATAAGGTAAATGTAGGACAGCTGCAATTCCAGGCACGTAGCCGAACCTCATAACCCTTTTCTTCTGAAGATGTTGAAGGGAGTGGAGGTGGTGCCGAGGCAGATATCACGATGAAAATATCCTCTTGGGCTGCCTCTGGGGATGTGGCATGATCTGAGCGTATAATTCGACGTATTAATTTGCGGTCGAGAATATCAAGTGCAGGGAGGAAGTCATTTGGGAATAGACAATGTAATGTCAACATCAATGGTTTCAGGTTTGAAAGTCTTGGTGTTAATTCTGCTATTAAACGATCAATAAAGATCTGAGAAGAAGCTTTGGACGCATTTATAGAATTAATAGAATCCATTCTGATAAAAAAAAAAAGAGGATGAAAAGAATGAAAAGAATGAAAAGAATGAAAAGAAAGGAAAAGAAATGAAAAGAAATGAAGATATATAGATTGGAATGAAATAAAAAGGAAACCAAAAAAGACCCCCGAGAGATGTCTGTCAAAACTAGTTCTTTGCCTTCTTCCCATTCTTCGTCTTCTTCGCCTTCCCATTTCCATTTTCAAATTCCTTTGCTTTATCTCGCACTTTTTTCTTCAAATTGGAAAACATCCCTTTTCCTTTTCCCTTTCCCTTTTCCTTTTCCTTATCCCCTTCATCTTCCTCCCTTGCTCGCTTCTTCCCCTTAAGTCGATTGTAGTGCATTCCTTGAACTTCAAGATCCAACAATTTTGACCCTTTCCCTCCATCTCCAGTCAAAGTTATCTCAAGTCGTCCTCGTTCCTTAGTCCAGTTGACTATATCCGCAATATCAGGACCAATAGCAGAAGTCTCCACTCCTTTGACTCCTTTTTTCTTCTCCCATTCATCTATCCATCCCTTAAACTCCTTGTGTCTCGCATTCTCTGAGCGAGCTATATAGACATCGACAACCTTGGGAATCATCATATTCAGGAATTTCCCGAGCTCCTTGGCATTGCCCCAGGCATTGGGATCTAATTCAGAGACAGGTTTTAATGATCCAGAATCAAAATCAAAACCTGGGAACAGATTCTTGTCGAACACCGAACCAGAGTCGATTTGCATGGCATCGTAATCCGGTGTCGGTACTTCATCACCCGTGGGTAACCGGCGGTATGCAAATATATAACAGGTGCTGAGATGGATCGGGTCGCTTCCAGGCCCTTCGGGTTGCCACTTTTGGATTTTATGCTCATCATTCAACAAGTACCATTTATCCCCTTTGCCTTTAACGCCGATACAGTAATGGCCGTGTGTCGGATCACCACTATGCAAGATCACCGAGGTTAATTTATACTGGATGATTTTTCGTTTGTTACCCCAGCGTTCATCGATGAACCGTGTCTCGATATCCAACTCTTCACTCAGATATACGTGAGTGCGGATCTTCTTGCCCTTCGTATCGGCACGGTTGAGCTGGACCAAGAGAAGCTCAGGAAAACTTCCAATTTGCTCTTTAGATGTTCTCATGCCTCCACATGTGGTGCACGCATCGTAATCATCCTCGTGGTCAAAGTGCCGTTGTATTATATCGCTCAAAGTAGGCTTTTCAGGTAGTACATCGCCCTCCTCTCCAGACAAGCTGATCATCATCAACAGTTGATTTCTTGGGTTGTATGCTGGCTCACAAGGTGATTTCCCGTCGCATCTGGTCACCTCGATGATTTTGACCTCGAAGATATCTTTCAAGTCTCCTTGCCTATCTAAAGTTAGTGTTTTTTTTTGTGGGGGGATATTTAAAAGAATAACAAATAACTTACATCATCAGCTTGGTCCTATCTCTGATCGTGTTGTAAAGCACTTCGAGGTATTCTGCCGGGTCTTGTTCCACGCTTGTCCCGCCCGGTTTCCAACTATGCAAGAGAGTATCTCCTAGCGATACAAAGTTGTCCATCCAGCTTCCAATTTTACCTGACCAGTAACCTTGAGCGATCTCAGCCAGTTCGCAAACTAGACATTTCATAGGATCTCCTTCATCAGATGAGCCCAGATTGCAAATGTGGCCCTTTGGGGCATGATGCTCCTTGTACCAGATGAGCCAATTGTAGAAAACCGGCACATTGAGAATCAGGTGGAAGGTGACATTTCGATAGCAGTCAACATCCCTATTGCCAAAGCCCACGGTGGGTCTATCGGGCAGATCTGGATGCCAATATTTGGGGATGGTGGTCTATATTTTGTGTTAGAGTGTTGATATCGAAGAAGGCTATAACACTTACTCTCACTGTCCTGCTCTCATTCGCAGTCTTTTCTCTTGGCTCTGTCGAGTCTTTCACTTCTTTATCTGAGGCTGCTTCTTGTTGCTCTTCGACTTGTTCCTCTTCATGTTCCACGTGTGCTTCATGTTCCACCTCCTCCTCATGTTCCACATCTTCTTGATGTTCCGTTTCGGGGTTGTCTCCTCCGGCCATGATAGAATATAAGAGTAAATAGATGTGGTATGAAGCTAATACTTACTTGAGGGGGTTTCAGTTTGATTTATCTTGCATTGCAACTGGATTTTCATTGTTTTCCATCTCCAAAGAAAATAGGGCTTCGACTTGGATTCTTTGAATTCACGAACCAATGAATCAAAACAGTATGATCAAAGAAAGGCAAGAGTTCTATCAAGTCAACTCTAAAGGCATTCATTCAAATTTCCTTTAAATCTCATTTGATTATTTCGTTCTTTCACAGATTTCCAGCCATTCCACGATTTTACATCTGATTCGAAGTCGATCTACATCCAAACAAAGAACTTGGGAAAAAAATATCTATAAATAAAAACTTGTTCACATTTTCAAAGACGAATTCAAAGACGAAAATGAATTCCCTAAAAATTGGCTGAAATTTGACGGAAATTTCAGGGCCCAGTGGGACTTGGAATCAGGCAATTCCTATAACTTTTCCCCAGTTTTGTAAAGATTAGAATGTTCGAGACTAAAGATCTTAACTCTGGAGAACTCCTAGTTCCACCTAAAGTGGTCTATAAATTGTCTATTGAGAAGTCTGGATATATTTGATCGGCTCCAGGGCTGTTTCAAATGTGGAGTCAAATAGAAATAGTGGTTGGACTGTGGAAATATCCAGAGATCCGGCCGAAACGTATATATATATATATATATCGTATACTCCGTGTATTTACGGAGTACATATATATTTTACTATTCCATATATATTTAAGATGCATCCACTTCCTATGACTCTGCAATGATCCATATAGCATTATTGACAGCAGGGTTCCTCGCATCTACCGAAGATCCACTGAGCGCATTGCCCTCTCGCCAAACGGTTGAGCGCCACTTCAGCTGAAGGGTAGATGATCTAAGTGGAACCTAAATTCTCCGTTCATGGTGCATATGTGATTATGTTGTAGTGGTAGGGTCCTATAAGCCCTAAGCAAGAAATTCCCCTAAATCCCTGAACAGAAACAAGAACAGCAAAATGATGAACTTCCAATAGGTTAAAAAAACCGGGTCTAACGGGCGAGTGTCGGATATTTAGGGTGATCGCGACAATAAATAGAAAAGAGAAACCTCCGCGCAGCGCCACCAGCTCTTCGCTACCAGTTAAGTCATAGTTTCGATGATCCGAACGCCCCTCCTTGAAACTCCACATTATTTCTTCATGGTCTTCTTCCCCTATACGGTACTGTTAGAGGAGATCATCATGTTCTTCTGATCTTTCTATCTGAATTTTCTACTTGAATTTTTTTTTGTATATCTACTGATCAGTTCTCTATATAAGGGCATTGGCCTATTTTGCCCAGCGGATCATAAGGTCCTTGAAGCCGTAGCTGCCGAACGGGTCATGTCTGTGCTGGCTCCGAACGAAGCCAAGGAAGGCAACGATCGCCTTGCGCGCCTTGCGAACGTTGTACATATGATCCACATACAAGTTCGACTCTCGTCTTTTTCTTTGCTTTTTTGGGGGTTTTTCTTGGTTTGCCCTTTTTTTTTTTTTTTTTTTTTTTTTGCCTGACAGGAAAGTTGATAGGTAAAAAAAAGCATCGTAGACGAGATTAGAGGTCCGGAAGTACTAGTAGGAAGAGGATTGCTGATCCTAGGTGCATTGACTGAACAGATGTTTCAGGGAAACTGATCGTCGAGGGTACATCATACAATATAGAGAGTATGATATTTAATAAATATATAGAATATACAGCATGGAATCATGGAATAATAGAATAATAGAATAGTGGACTACGTAGAGTAATAGATTAATAGAATCATAGAATATAAGAAAAGGAACTCGTGTTCGGCCCAAGCATGTGCCCGGTTTCTGGGTCCAACGGGCATGACGTGCACTAGAATTGGGAAATTAACTGTCAAAAAAAGGGAAAAAGTGGGAAAAGGTGGAAATTGACAGGGCTATTAATTGGGAACGGGAAATTGAAATGATCCCCCTTAAATCTTGGAAATGCGTGAACGCGTGCCCCGTCGTTCAAGAGGTTCTAAGACCTTTAGCAAATTACCGATCTTAAAATCTATATATTAGGTAGAATATAGAACAGGATTCACCAATTTGATTCACTGGCACTGCAGAAACTGGACATCTCAAGGTGTTACGTCAAGTTTAGATTCGGATTCAAGATAACTATTTAACTACTCCGTACAGAAGAAAACATACACCCGAGAGTCAGGAACCCGGAAAAGCCCCACAGAGCAAGGGGAAGAATAAGAGAAAAATCCCCGACTGGTTCCAAGTTAACATATCCTAGTAAATAATATATATATGTGTACTCCGTACTCCGTACAAATATATAAACGATACTTCCCATCTGGACCTTTTTGGCTCTACTTTGTAGGGCTCTGGACCGGAGAAGACCGTTCTCATTTAACCAAAGGGTGATGCGGGTCTCCGATATATATATTTTCTTTTAATTTTAATTTTTGGTTTTGCACATAATGTAATACTATCAATACGTTATAGTATATATCTTAATAAGTGATTTTTTTTAAAAAAAATTATATACCTATGAATAATTACCATAGTATACTATTAGTATACACTATAATACTACAAATATACCATATACTCCGTACCGTTTGATCCCAAAAATTGCCCCTCTTCCTTTTCTAGGTTAGTATGAAACTCTGCAGGTCATATCAAACATTTCCCGTCTATGTTGTATATACACCAAGTATATATATCTCTCTCCCTCTCCATATAACTATACCTAGTTAATCGTTAAGGGGGAAAAAAAGGGTCTTCAATATCTATTATACCTATATATGTGTATACATTCGATATATAATACACTTAACCTAATAAACTTCACTTATATATATAAACCCACCAAGCCTAAAAACTGAAGATCAGAAGTAGACAGGGGAACTGACCGCATCTTTAATTAAAATCAAGTGGATATTCTGAAGTATTTTTTGACTCTGTAACAGCCGTTACCCTTAATAGTTCCACCCCCCAACGGTCTAAGACTCTTCTTTTTCTCCTCTCTTCTCTTCAGGATAGGTTTAGATCAGCTGTCACTTCTTGATTCGTTTCACCTTCTAGTTGGAATGCTTCATATGGTTTCTTCTCCCTTTACGAATTCTAAATCTTAGCATATTCCATACCCTTTCCCCCCTCTATTCTCACTCTTTCTCCCTCTCTATCTCTTTTCTCTGTTATCCTGGAGATTTTTCTTAAAAAAAAATTCCTCCCTCCCCCCTCCTCCCCCTCTCCTCCTCCCTAAAAAAGTGTCGATTCTTTAATTGATTTTGGACATTTTTATTGTTCTGTCGTCATATTAGGAAAAATACTGGGATCACGAGCACCTTCCGTCCTTTCCTTTTTTTGTCCCTTCCCCCCCCTCCAGAGTCGGGGATCTCCCTGCTTTGTTTTCTATTCGATTCACCGGTGCTCATCCGCGCATATGATTGCGTTACAAAATCGACCTATATTGCCCCCTGTCAAAGTGGATATCTCACTGCTACTCAAGCCCCAAGATGAGGAAGAAGCCGCCCCGGGTTTGAACACCGGGTACCCGCCCAGAACGATAGGGCCAATGGGTTTAGGTCCCATGATGAGTATGCCGGGCCCGGCTGCCATGTCCATGCCACCCTTGACCAAGACCGGCCCGTCCGGCGCTGCCAAGCGCTTACAGCCCTCGCATACGGCCGAATCTCCAGCAAAGAAACAGTCCAAGTGGTCGCCAGATGAGGATGCCTTGATCATCGAACTGCGTGGCAGTGGTATGAAGTGGGAGGATATCAGCAAACGACTTCCCGGCCGCAGTGCTATTAGTTGCCGTCTTCATTATCAGAACTACCTAGAACGTCGAAGTGAATGGGATGAAGATAAGAAGAACAAACTAGCTCGTTTATATGAGAGGTAGGTCTTGGAGAGAGATGGAGAGAGAGAGAGAGAGATGGCATCTCGGAAAGGGAACAAATCCACTAATCTCGCACTGTGATAGATTCAAAGCCGAAATGTGGTCCAAGGTAGCGGAGGAAATGGCTATCCCATGGCGTGCAGCAGAGGCTATGCACTGGCAGCTGGGAGAGCAGGAGATGGCTCGACGCGCAGGTGTAGTGCCATTCTCCCTCTCGAGTGCTGCTATCGACCCCCCAACCACCAGGACACGCCGCGCTAGCACATCTCTATCCCGGCCGAGAAAGGGATCTTCCTCACGCGCAATCCCAGGTCATCTGCCAGGCCTTCCACCTCAACTTCCCTCCCTTGAAGAACTTACTGCAGGCGTTCCTGCATACGCACCCGCTCCGCCTCCTCCGAGAGAGTTCTATGGAATTGGACGACCACCAGAGATGGGGATTCCTCCACCAGGTCTCATGGGCCCTCACCTTGGCATGCCCCCTCGGACCATGCCCTAAGATGAGATGATGAAGATGACGCCTACACGTCTTTCCTTGAGTTTTTCTCTCTCTTTTTCTCTCTTTTTCTCTCTTTTTTTTCTCTTTTTTTTCTCTTTTTTTTCTCTTTTTTTCCGCTCCTCTCTTCTGATTCATATTCCCCCCGCCCCCCTTGTTTTCTGTTGTGGTTTTCTGTTACGAATTGCATAGCGCCGGTTGGAGGTATATCGTGATTTGTGGGGATAGTAAATCGTATAGATGATTTCTACCCCTCGGTGTTTGTTGCGTTCTTTTTCCTTTGTTTGCAGAAATTTTGGCGGGGCCAGCAGTGCAAATTGATATGTTTTCTCATGACTCTCCGAGGCTGGCTCTCGGAGTGCATACCACATATTCAAACGTCATGAGCAGTCTTGGGGGTTGCAATCGCCCACCAGTTATCTTTCTCGTACCCGGATTCTAGCACACGGCCGCCAGCACTATCGATGTCACGCTCCAGTTCGCCTTGCGCGTACAAGTGGTAGTAGCGATGGAAAGTCTGGGGTTGATCACCCTTACGAACCCAGGGAACCATTCGATCTTGCTCATCGCCTTTGTCCCAACCTCTACGGCTATTCTTTTGCTCAAGAGCCCAGGCGTAAATCAGGATCTTCCCACCTTCCTGCATCCCTGAACCCTGTTTCACAGTTCGCAAGATTTCGGCGACTGCTTGAACTCGCCGGGCCGGAGTGGAAAGATGATGCACCACTGCGATCGAAATTGCAAAGTCGAAGTTTTCATCTCGGTGCGGGAGGTCAAGAATATCGGCCACCACTGTCGAATGCGGCTGGTGCTGCATGGCAATCCGAGCCAGGTTTTCGGATCTGCCATCGGGTCAGCCCAGGAGCTCAAAGGGATATACAATGGACAGAATGGGATTATCCCAAGGAAATAAAGAAGTCTATAGAGCATTCCAAAATCCAAGAATTCAATAACTCATATGAAAAACATACCTATCTGAAGCGATGATAAAGACATCTCGATTTACCATCAAGTTTTTGCCATTACCACACCCTACATCTAGACCCACTGCACCTGGTGCTAGGCTCGTGAGGAATTGCTCGACTATAGGCCATGGCTGGAAAAGTGGTTAATTGGGAAACCCACATGAGTTGAGGTAGCCGCTTAAAACACACCTTGTAGCGGGTGGCAGAGAAATGCTGAGCAATTTCTTGATATACTTGGTGCACGTTTTCCTGCTCATACGCTTCGCCTGTCTGTTGGGACGCCATGATGCTTTCGTCGTGAACAAGGTGGGAACTGTTGAAACGTTTTGAAAAGTCAAGTGAGAATGGATATCACGTGGCTCGCGATTTGTAACGGGGCATAATATCTACATCATCTCGATGTTGAATTTATATGGCAGACAAAATACAAAATGTATGATGTGTTTGAAGTTGAATAAAATATACAGAAAGTATTAACGTATAAAGTTTGAATCATGTCAAGTTTAACTGTCTTGTCTATTCTTGATAAAAATTGGAAAATGATCAATTGCCGTAGAGTCATATAACAAGGGGGGGGTTTGAAGTATAAACGCTGGTGCTATAATAATACAAAATACTAACTATGATATAATATAGAATCTGTTGCATAATACCGGTATAAGATAGCCTAAATTCTGACGGGCCTTTTTCATAATAGGGTTCGAGTTGAATTGCTCTATGAGAATATCTAGATCTGTATTCTTAACACGCGATAGCCCGAATAGTAAATTTTAATTTCTCAGTATTCCAAGGTGACCTACAGTACTACGTAAATACGTATATTGATTATATACATATATCACAAGTAGGTAACCTTCATCTATGATAAGCCATGACTCGTGTTTTATATCAATTTCTTACTGGAATGTTGACTTACTTTGACATTCTACTTTGATATCCCGTTCAGGCAATGGTTTATCAACATAAGGTGCACCAAAAAGGGGTTCCCTTAATTTCACCTTGTCCTCCTCCAAGATTATATATCATTTGTCAATTCCATTCTCAACTGTGTGTAGCATCAAGCGGTGCCTGTTCCTGGCGGAGACCGCTTACTAATAATCGCATCTTTCGAGGGGCGATATTCCTTTTCCTGTCAACCACAGGGCAGCACAAGATCAACTGTAAGTACTACTTACCCTTGTTCAAGAATGGTCCCTTTCGTCTAGACTAGGCTGTATTCCTGTCAACTGCCACACAAAGTTACCCTGGCAAGTGCCAGCAGCTACTTGTGAGCCACTCAGGGGAATTTGATACTAGCAATTCTGATGCCGAATGCATTGCCTGTTCTTGTGTTTTTTTTTTTTTTTCAACTCTAAGGATTACAAAATATTGAATCTAGCTGTCCGATTTCGAGCCCCGGGGACAAAGGTGGGGGGATTGAATACCTCACACCCTGCCATCAAGAACTTGCATTGATTCACAGCCCACTCTAACATTTCTTGCTAGAAACAAAAGACAAGATGGCGTTCCAGCCTACTCCGATGGACATATCTGTCATAATCACCAACGCGGCTTTAACCAAGCCCGGGAATTCGGAGCCTCGATTCCTGACTGAACGCCGCATCACTCCAACCTGGACAGTGATGCAGGTCAAGGCAAAGCTGGAGACTATGACCGGAATCCCGCCAGGGTGCCAGCGCCTACGGGTAAAAGTGCCTGGTCGACCTAACCAATGGGCGGATGGAGACGACCGCCTGATTGGGGATTGGGGCTTGGTGAAGGGATCGGAGATCGAGGTTGGTTCTTTCTTTCTTTCTTTGTTTTGTTTTGTTTTGTTTTGTTTTGTTACTTTTTTTTATCTCTTCGGATTCGAGTTGTCAGGGCAAGATAATTATATTTTACAAATTCTGAACATATGCTGATTTGTATCCTCACCAGGTCAATGACAGCCGCCCACAAACCATGCGGGCTAACTTCACCGACTTGTCATCGGTCGAGAAATATGTGCTACCAACTGAAACATACGAAGCCCGTTCAGACTCTGTATTGGCTTGGAAGAAGATTCAGAAGCTGGGCCGGTTTGATCCTAACGCTTTATCACCTGAAGAGGCTCTGCGCCATCAAGTTGAGAAAGACCAAACCGAGGTTCAATCGAGAGGTTCGTTAAAACAAAAATTTCCAGTGTCAATGCGATTTCTTTTCTTCTATTGATCTAATGACATCTTGGCAGGAATCACTGTTGCTAAACGAGCTATCGTTTTGCCTTCCTCTCCGCCGCATATTCGACGTGGTACAATCCGCTTCGTTGGACCTGTTCCAACTATTCCTATCACCGGTCCAGGTCGCGAGCTGCAACAGGATGCAGGACTTCTGGCAGATCTTCAGCCAATCTGGGTTGGGATTGAGCTTGACGAGCCGATGGGGAAAAACGATGGTAGTGTAGGTGGACAGCGCTACTTCGAGTGCTTAGGCAATAGGGGCGTCTTTGTGAAGCCCGAAAAGGTTGAAGTCGGGGAGTTCCCCCCGCTAGGTCTAGACGACGACCTAGATGACCTAATGGAGGAGATTTGATACACTGGGTATGTATATTTTGAATGAATACATTTCGATATTTTTTTGAATAAATGGGGGTTCGGATTCCCAGCTTCTCAGTTATTCTTTCATCACCAATTATCACCAATAGATACTGCATAATTAACTGGAGAAACAGGCGGGAAAAACGCCAAATTCCCTGGTAATCGTATGAAAACAAATCGCTGAAGAACTAATAACAATAAAAGACATTTAGACGCCCTCAAAATAAAATTTCAGGGCATCCACGTAAAAGGTATCATGGCAAGTTGTCAATGCCTACAAACATTAGAATAGGAGTGGAGGACAGAGATCAAGTGATCATTTGCCAATCTTCTTTTGCTTGCCCTTTGGGCGACCCTTGGCTTTCTTAGCAGGGACATGAACAGGAACAGTGGGAGTGTCGGCTTCAAATTCGCTTTCAGGGCCAGCATCCTGAGACATCTGCGGTGTGTCCTCTTCGTTCTCATTCTCATTCTCGTCGGGGACACAGCCTTGTGTGAAGAAAAGTCGAGCTTCTTTTCGATGGGTGTTTGCAAAGCTGTAATAGTTACCTGGAAATGGGATCCTGGTGTCAATTAATTGCAGACGAATCAAAGAAGCCGGATGAAATGAGACTCACCACGAGGAACTTGGAAAACACAACCCTTTCCAGCACTAAACTGGACACCTGAAATATCCACTTGAACACGCCCGTGACAGACATAAAAGACCATGTGCATTTTCTTCGAGTTCTTGGGTTTCTTGACTCCATCAGGTGGGAGCTCCACAACTCCAGACCCGATGAACGATGAACTAAGCAGTTTCGCAAATCGGAATGTTGAGTCTTTGACTTCTCTGGTTTCGATTCCAGAGGGAGCATATGCAATGTCTGTGTCAACGGTTAGTAAATGAACCAACTGTAAAGGGATTGGGGTTCATACCTAGGACTTCCTCCTCCTTCGAACTGGTCTGTGTTTTCCCGTCCCATTTGAGGGTGTAGCCATGAAGAACACCACCTTCCTTCTCCCAGAGATCAACTTCCTCATCATCGTCCGAAGAATCATCCCTTTGTTTCTTAGACTTGGATTTGTGGGACGTTGAGCGTTTCCCCTTCTTCTTCTTCTTTTCAGGCTCTTGTTCCTCGGTGCGAATGACCTCTTTTATGGTTGAAAGAGGATATCGATGTCCCTCGGCTGCCTCCCCGTCACCGAAGACGCACCGTTCATTGCGCCAGTATGCTAACGGTCGGACAGAAACACGCCCAGATCGAGTGTGAGTCGCACCGTTATCGCTAGGGTTTTCACGTTTGAGGATATACAAACTTCGGCCTTTCAAAGGGCCTGCGCGGTTGGCGTAATTCTCAACCACTCGATGCAATTCCGGATCCAAAGGTTCATGCACCGGTGGAGATACTTTGGTGGTATTCCGCTTTTTGGTTGGTCTGGGGTCGGCGTCTTCTTCCACGTTACGGCGTTGGGACTTTGGACGCCCGCGTGGCACAGGGGGTTTCGCCTGATTTTTGTCTGTCTTGGCGGTCTTTGGCGCGGCCTTTTTTGTTGACTTGGATGTTATAACGGGTTCTTCCCGGGGCGGAGTCGTGTCAGCGGTAGATAAGTTATCGTCATAATCTTGTTGGTCTTCCCTGGGAGAATCGGGTAGCTCCTCTGCAGCAACCGAATCAGAATCGACATTCAGACTATCACCAAAATTTCTTTGTACTGCGGCGAATGCATTCGCGTTCTCGTCGCTGTCGGAATAGTCGGAAAAATCATGTATGACTGCTGGCTCAAATTTTGCTCCTAGATGTGCTTTTGTCGTGGGTTTTTGCTGTGTGCCATTCCTCTGGTTCGGACGTCCCACATTCACCGAGCGAGTGGAAAGAGGAGATGGATCCTGGCGCGATTCTCCCTGTGCGCCTGCGAAACCTTTTCCGTTGGACGGACTAGACGACTCGAGAATATCCTGCGGGTCTGGAGTTGATTGTAGCGCTGAAGTCCTCCGCGGAGACCCAGTAAGGCCAGTCTTCATCGGCGACCGTGCGGCAGGCGGAGGGAGAAAAGAGGTACGTGAGCCATTTGTGCCCTTGAGGAAGTCCATGGGATCTGGCGCATTGCCTATAGGATTTGCATCAGCACGTAAGGAGTTGGCAATATAAGGCGACACAGAATTAGCCGACCTTCGTCCATCGACATGCCCTCAGACCCAGCTGAAGAGTCATTTTCCATGTCTTTAAACCCATTCAACTCGACAGGCGAATTTTCAGGAGATGAGAAGAGACCATCTACTTCTTCCATTCCATGTTCGTCGCGCCGGCCCTCCTTTAGAGAGATGCCAGTGCGCCTAGAAATATTCAGTATAGAGGTTTTGGTAGAAGACCATATCAACTCACCTTCCCTTAGTTCCCACATTGGAGTAGTCGAAGTCGCGGGCCTTTCCGGGCCCTCGTGCCATGTTCAAAGTTGAACACCAGGATAGAATTGAAAGCAAAGATGAGGATAGATTCAATAAAAGCAGTCAAAAGCGACATAAGGTGGAGGGGAGGAATGCGGAATTTAGGCGGGAAGAGCAACACGCGCCCCGCTAATCCCGAACGGTCGACGCGTTGTGAGCTCGGGATCTTTGCATTTCTTTGTACGGAATATCTTCAAGCTTTTTGTTTCCTCCTCTTTAAACAGACTTTACGATATCTTACATACCTATCATGACAAAAGATACTTCCCCACTCGATTCTCTCAAGGATTCGTCCATCTTTATTCCTCCTAGTGTGATTTCAGAACCCCTTCTCTCCGGCGAGTCCTACGCGTACTACACCCTATGCCCAAACGCAATCACGCCCCAAGAGACCTCACCCACAATTCATGATACAGTTGAGAGTACACCATGCGTTTTAGGTGTCGATGAAGCCGGTCGTGGTCCAGTCCTAGGGCCAATGGTCTACGGTGCCTTCTATCTTCCACTTGACCTCCACCACTCGCTTTTGACCGAGAAACACAGCTTTGACGATAGCAAAGTCCTTACACCTACCGTGCGAGCGAACTTGATGCATCTTTTGAATACACCAGGAGACTCATTGTTCGAATCCTGCGGATATGCTGTCAAAGTACTGTCGGCGTGCGACATCTCTTCTGGCATGATGAGATCACCCACCGCAGTATACAATCTAAACGCCCAGGCCATGGATGCCACAGTGGAGATCATTCGAGGGGTGGTCGAAGACCTTGGAGTGGATGTACGAGAGGTATACATTGACACGATTGGGAATCCCGCTACATACCAGCAGAAATTGGAGCGAATATTCCCATCTCTCAAAATCACCGTGGCAAAGAAGGCCGATTCCTTGTATCCCTGTGTCAGCGCTGCCAGTGTGGCAGCCAAGGTGACACGAGATGTTGCACTGGAAGTCATGTACGAGGCCGTGCTTCGGGCTGAGCAGTCACTTAGTCCAGCCCTAGAAACTTGGGGAAGTGGCTATCCCTCGGACTCCAAGTGCGTCGGCTGGCTTCGACGCAACATGGACCCTGTGTTTGGATGGGGTAACGAGTGTCGATTCAGCTGGGGCACTGCGAAAGAGATGCTTGAAATGAAAGGAGCAGCACGAGTCGACTGGCCCGACGAAGAGGAGGAAAGCGCACCTCGACTAGATGAGTTCTTACTATCATCAAACCCCGGCAAAAACCCCGGCAAGGTTGGATTACGAGATTGGTATGGCTGCAGACAAACTGAGGTTCTCTGAATGTGAATACTCCGTGTAATGTGATTAGACATGAAACTTGGATAAAAAAAATTAATGATACCCCTTGCGCTCGTTTGAAAAAGCACAGCAAGAGTGAGAACAAATGAAAGACAGAATAGCAAGTCCAATTGTGAATGTAGTAAGAAAAAAAAATAGAAAAAAAGACTCGTACATAGAAATAATGGGTATCACTGGTAAAGAAGATTTGGGCTCATTTGTGGAAATTCACAGCGTAGCAGTCGAGAAGTAGAAGTTGTCCCAGAGGTATTCATAGTCCTCCACGACACTACCCACCAAGTCCAACAATGGCTTGCCCTTCATTTTTCCAGTTAGACTGTGTAGCCAGGGCCTGTTTGACAATGTCAGTATTCAAATGGGAGCCCAAAGACAAGAGTCGGGATTCTTACTTAGTGATGTTTTCATAGAATGCGCCTCGCATCATCCACCAGCCCATTGACCATCCACGCTTCTTCAGTTCCTCTCGCTCAAGCCCTGTCAGTCCTCGAAGACCGCCAGCGATCCTTTCACGGAAGTCCCGCTTTGCGAGCTGGCGGCAGCCATACTCCATCCCAAAACCAATAAGCCATGGCCGCCAGCTTCGCTTATCACCACTCCACTTTTGCATCGCCATTGCGTAGACTACAGGGCGAAGAATGTACAGCACTTCAGCCACTTGCCCTTGTCCCGTCACCCGATGGAGTAGTGCCTTGGGGGGTTTGATGTCATCTGCCGTAAGAACTTTAGAAATGAGATAGTTTGACACATCGTTTACGTCGGGAAGAGACGGAAGAGAAAGTCCCGTGCGAGGCATTGTCCAACTCAAGTCCGAAGACCGCTCGCTGACCGGAGTGTCCATTCCATTCCAGTCACTCTGTGTTTCTTCTTCTTCTGTCGTTCTTGGATCAACCTCGCGCTCTGGAAGTGGAGGACTGACGAGTGGCCTGGAGTTGGTCAGTCGCAGAAGAAGCAAGCGACAGACTGCCTTTCCGAATTCAATAAAGACAACCACGCGCCACCGTGTTTTCTGGCCGCGCCGCCGCGCCGCCATCTCCCAGAGAAGCTCAGTATACTGGAGCATTTGTAGCGCAAGCGCTACCTGTCGATACAGCGAGGAGCGAGAGGTCCAGTATTTGGTATACCGGGAATGGGGAGTGGGCGGCCGCCGGAGAATAGTCGATGGCAGCCGATCAATGACTCGTGAAACAAGAGAGTCGTGATATAACGATAGCAACTGGACACCGGAGTGTACTGCAGGGGGTATCAGCAGGCACGCTCAAAGGCAAGTATAATGTTATACTAACCACATTCTGAGGGGATTTCTGATTCGCGGTATCGCCCTGTTAAGAAAAAAAAAATTAGATTTTTCAATAGCTGCATCGTCAAACCGATTGAGAACTCACCTGGGATGATATAAGTCAATGATCTCAATGCTGACTCGACTTGACCAACCGAGCTGGCATTCTTGGTCACAAAGTCTTCATAGACAGAAAGCCATTTGGAGGGTTTCAAGAGCACTGAAGGTATTGGATTCTGAATATTGCGAACAGTTTCCATCTTTAAGCTTCAAGCATGTTGAACTGAAGGAGATGAGATCCGGGGAGGGCGACCTCGGGAGATTACAGGGGCACGTGGTCCCCGCTTCTGCGTCTGCCAAGACGCCTGGGCCGAGGTTGATGGGTTCGCCCTTTTTTGTTGTATACTTACATACTATGTAGTAAGGCTGTGTTGTACTTTGGAGTCATATTAACGATGTAGGACTTTGATAATCTGATTTATCTGGCTTAAGATTACCTATACATAAGGGACGGTATATGCAATAACACTCTAATGTGTTTTTTAATGCTCTTGTATGTTTTTTTATATACGAATGCGGTAAAAAGCATTCCAAATGAAGTGGTGGTTGCATCTGTATGATGCGTTTCTAGTCACACAGTAAATATCTAACAGCTCATAGAGAGATAAGTTATCTTATTCATCCGCCCATGTCCATAATCCCCCAGGGCGCATAGCCTCTCGATATCGCTCTTCCACTTTCTCACGTTCCAACCTCTTAGCAGCTTCAAGATCATCTTCCTCCTCCTGTGTATTTGGCATGTCAGTTCGCCAGAAGCCAGGAGGGGATTGAGCTCGCTGGTGAGCATGCCGATGTCGTCCATATCGGTTGGCCAGGGCTCTGGCTCTTGCTTCCACCAGGAGATTTTCACGCTCTTTGCCGCTCATATTTCGAAGCAATTGTGTGTCTTCTCCCACGAATTCTTGTAGAATTGCCTGGTCTTCTTCCTCTTGTTCTGCTCCAGATTTACCGGAAAGACCACCAAGGCGGGCCATGGCCCGGAACCGATCACCGCAACATCCTGGGCGAGTACAGCCTGATATGCATTTGCGTTCATCCTTCTTTCGGACAACTGTACCATATGCATAATCAAGGCCTTGATTTTTAACCGGATTGATTTTGAAATGCCCCAGCCCAAGGCGGCGAAGAGGTCTTGCCCTGAATGGTTCATCATCGGGGTCTATATCTGGGGCCATTTGACTCGACATCTTGGGCCTTGTTTGGTCACTCTGGGGTGTAACACCCGCCCTTGTTAAATCAGGACCGTGGTCTTTGCTCGACAGATGAAGTGGTGATTTGGAGGGTAGCGATCGTTCTAGAAGATTTTCTAGACGTCTTTGTGCAAATCCACCCTGAGGATTTACTTCTGCAGATCCAAGATTGACACCGGAACCAGTCTTCGAAGACGTCCATAAGGCCGTCGCATTATCACCGTCTTCCGCCAGTGCTGGTATCGCGCGTCGCTCCAGATCCTGAAGGTGTTTCGTGGAAGATCCCTGTGCAGAGAAGTTCGCGCTGCCTGCGTTGCCGTCAACTGGTTGGAGTATGGACAACTGTTGAGATATTTGCCGGCCTAGTGGAATTTGCTTTGAGTGATGTACTTTATTCGTACTGTTCTCTGAATTCCAAGCGTCTGCAATATTGACATTGCGGTAGGCTTTCCGTTTCATTGGTGTTCGTATCGTGTCCCCTATCTCATCGAGATCTTGCGTGCTTACAAATGGCTGTTCACTGTTGTGCACTGAACCTTGTGTTGGACTCGAGGACAGTATCTCATTTTTGACAACTGCAGAGCGCTCCGAGCTCATGGCTGCTCGTTGGCTATGCGTGAGGTTTCTGCCGGGAAGTGTTGGTGAAAGCCTCTGCCGATTCTGCTGCTGGCGGACGTTGGACAGGAGACATATTGTATCGGACGATTCCGAGGGTTCCATATCCGCTCTAGGAGAGCTAGATTGGGCAGCGGCCGACTCTGATGTTAAACCGTGAATTATTGTTTGGTTATCATCTTCAACTTTCATATTTGCATGCACATCACCTGCACAGGTCCTTGCTTGCGACGACTTGATAGCCTTGGCCGGAAGATTTGGACACTCTTCTCTTGGACGTTTCTTCGAGGAGCCTTGGGCCTGCGGGTGTTCTTCGTCAACATCCTCAGAGATGGGACTTTGTATTCTGCGGAATGTGACGGGTTGACCATTGAGAACAAGCGAGAACTCTCCACGCTCTAATTGCCGATCCCATCGCCGTAGCTTTTTTTTGTGCTGCAACACCCGGGATTTGAGACCACTCCAGGTTTGGATGAACGTCTGTAAATTTGTATAAAGCGCAGTGTATTTGGCCTCAACTCTTTTCCGAGACTTCCGAACATTGGGATGATCATCATAATCCAGATCGCCACCCCACAAGTTCTTCGGGTCAAATTCTGTCTCTAGATTGGCATATTTCCCGGGAAGTTCAAGATCCTGTGGATCAACTTCATATTGTTGCAGCTCACTCCGGAGTACCGTGATATCGTGCTGAAGCTCTCGGATTTTAGTCTCTGATTGGCGCAGGGCTTGGCTGGCCATTGCTTCTTTAATTTCTGCCTCTTTGGTGTGCGCATCAATATGGGATTTCATGTGCTTATAGGCATTGTCGAAGGAGGCCTCACAGGCATTTGCCACAGCAGCGTGCAGCTCCTTGACAACTTCCATTGTATAGTTTCTAGTGTACCAACGAGGAAAACAACATGAATTATAGGAGAAGCAAAGGGTGGGGGACGTTCTGTCAAGCAGAGATATAAACGCGACAACGCGTCGAGGCCAAATGGGCACACGTGAGCTTATCACTGATAAGACTCTCCCGGTGTATCGGGACCGACTCCACTTACAATTGTCTACTTTCAACCGCCGGGGTGCTCGGTGTGTGGAATGATTTCTTCAATTCATTTAGCCTGAGATAGGATGCCCAAACGGTGCAGAGAAAATCGGGACTCCGATCTACCGCAAAAGCGTATCCGTGCTCGGAACGATGTCGGGCCACTTGATCGTCTGTCTCGGCTGAGCAACGAGCTACTACTCCATATCCTTTCTTTTTTACCAATATCATCTCTCAATGTGTGTCAAAGGTATGCTCCCATTGTGATCAGTCCTTCTCGATGGTTCCGCTGACCTGTTACCTCATCCAGGTTATCACATCGCTTCCATGCTCTTGGTGGGGACTCTGAGATATGGAAAAAGCAATACTACTCGCAATGGGTGCGGCCCCGTGCCCGCCGCCTGGCAAATACTAGACGCACAACCCTTCCAGCCAAGACAGATTACTCGCCCAAGGTCGCAACGTGGTTCGATCATGGGCACTTGGCACAGGAGGGCAATTGGAAACGGCAGTATCGGCTCCGGCATAATTGGTCCAAAGGGCTATGCCGGGTTACCGAGGTACAGTTTCCTCAGCCACCATGCCCTCCCACGCTGGTCAGTTTTTGTGCTGGGGTTGTATTCACGGCAGACCCAGCGCATGGGCTCCGGGCTTGGAACACAGGAGACTCAGCACGTTGTCTCGCAAGAATTCCTTTGTCCGCTCCATCGAAATCATCATCTATGGCCCCAACCGCCTTGGCAGTAAGTCAAATCCAAGATGAGATTGAGATCTCAGTGGGACTGGAAGATGGTCATTTCAGCCTCTTCGTCTTAAATCTTCAAACATCCCAGTTAGACTTGCAGTCCTCTCATGTCGGCTCCAGTGGTGCTGCTATAACAGCAATGGCCCTTTCATCGCCATATTTGATGGTAGTATCCCAGCACAAACATTTGACCTTGTATAATCTGCAATCTGGCAGCCATCGAGCGGGGGAAAAGGCCGAGGGCTCAGAGCCCCATCAGGTCGCCTCCCTTAATGCAGATAACATTGTTGCACCCATGACACTATCTCTTAGAGTCTCGTCTTCCGAAATTGTCGCTACTATTGTGTATAGTTTTTTTCATATTGGATGTGGGTGGTCCCTAGGGATTCAAGAATTGCGTCTAGGCAAAGATGGCCAACAACTTGATTCGCGACTGGCTACTACAGTGGATTCCCAGTATGGATTGAGGCCACTTCAATCCAGAAAAAGGCGACGCTCTGCGGCTGAAGACAATCAACCTCCCATCACCCCAGGGACACCATTTATCCTACATCAACAGCCGCCAACCTCTATGTCCTATTCCCATCCGTATTTGCTGAGTTCACATGCCGATAATACGTTGACAATGTACCTTGTGGTATCTACATCGGAAAATTTGTTTGTCCAAGGCGGCCGACGACTTTGGGGCCATACCTCTTCCGTATCTGCGGTTCAGGTGACCAACCGCGGGAAAGCTGTCTCTGTAAGCTCTCGCGGGGGTGAAATTCGAATATGGGAGCTAGAGATGGCGATATCATCCCTGGGCAGCCGCAAATTCTTCGAGGAGCACAGTGTTCAGCTCAACGTTGGAAACAAGGGGGAACCAGCGTCAGAGCCCGGAGGAGCGATTTACCACAATATGGGCAGTGGAAATGTAGAGTCCCAGGAATTGACCTTGCCTATTGGATTCGACGATGAACGGGTACTTCTCCTTCGAGAAAGGACCGGAACACAGTTACTTGAGTGTTACGACTTCACTTAACACAAAGTATATATTATTGTCAATGCTAAACGGAGAAGAAGAAAAGAAAAAAAAAGACGATTACCTCCAACTTACATTAGCCTGTGATATGGACTAATAACCCCCCGAGTGGCACAAGGTACTCCTAGATTGGGGACCCTGGCAAGACAGGGGGTCAGGCTTATATATACCTACCTATAATACTCCATGTATGGATATATATATATACATAAGTCGTGCCCTTAACATATTCATTTCTGTTTAGTTTCCCCTTCTCCATTTTCCATTTCCCAATTTCCAGTCTCAGGTCTCCAATGACCATTACAACCCTGAAAGACTTCAAATCTAGGCCACCAAAGGTCAAATAGATGGATAAAAAGGGAAAGACATTTATGTGAGTGACTTTCTATTATATATGTTGGATGACCAGGAAAGGAACAGAATACAAAGAAAAGCAGAATGAAAACAGCCGAAAAAAAATAAATTTGAGAAAAATGAGAAAACTTCCCCCCAAAAAACCTCCCCGACCATCTCTATTTTCTCCTCTCTTCTCTCTCCAGGGCGGTCAGCTTTAAAGAGCGGGAAGATTTCTTTCCCCCGCACAATATTAATTTTCCAGACTCTTCAACTTCTTCCTATTACTTTTTTTTTATTCTATTATAAAATCCCCTTTATTCATCATGGACTTTCCCCCTGCTGGACGTGGTGGCTGCTTCAACTGTATGTTCTTACTCTTTTTTACTGCAAACTGGACTGGGAGAGTCAATTTGATCGAAACCTGAATACGTCATATTCAGGAGCTTGTGGCACTCGAAATTGAAGAGACTCTCTTGTGACATCTATTGCGCAAAATGAGATATGACCTTTTTTTTTCCCTAAAAAAAAAAAACTAACGTTCTTCATAGGCGGCGAGGCCTCTCACCAGGTAAATTATATAACCCCTTCTGCCTGACCTCTTGAAATTTCTCCCGGATTTTTTCGTGGCAATAAAACCCCAAAAATAGAGAAGCTTACTCTTTCTAGGCCAAGGACTGCCCTAAGAAGGGAAACCCTACCTGGTAATTCCCCTTCTCTTTGATCTTTCCAATTCAAAAGCTAACCCGGTCCAATAGCTACAACTGTAATGGTATGCACCTTTCAAAAACGTCCATTGTCGGTTATTAGAACTTCGCTAATTCAAGTTAAATCACACTTACAGGCCAGGGTCACTTGAGTAAGTTTTGGGTATCGCAAATTTTCTTTGGACTTGACTGACATTTCCAACAGGCCGTGAATGCCAGGAGCCCGCCAAGGAGAAGTCCTGCTACCGTTGCGGCCAGACTGGACATCTTTCCCGCGAATGCCCCCAGGGCGGTGACAGCAGCTACAGCGGTGGTGGTTCCCAGGAATGCTACAAGTGCGGACAGGTCGGCCACATTGCGCGCAATTGCTCTCAGGGTGGTAACTTCGGTGGTGGTTACAATTCTGGTGGCTTCGGTGGTCCAGGTGGTGCCGGTGGTCGCCAGCAGACCTGCTACTCCTGCGGTGGCTTCGGCCACATGGCCCGTGACTGCACTCAGGGTCAAAAGTGCTACAACTGTCGGTCATCCTTCTTCCTTTCTCTAGAATCTTCTACTGACTCATGATCAGGCGGCGAAGTCGGTCACGTCTCTCGCGACTGCCCCACTGAGGCCAAGGGTGAGCGCATGTGCTACAAGTGCAAGCAGCCCGGTCACGTTCAATCCGCCTGCCCTAACTAAGATGCCCATTGCTTGCTTGCATTGCTCTTTTGGTCAACATATTTCTGCAGTTTCGATGGGATTGGATGACATTTTTCATGCATGCACGAAACGAATTTCTCTTTTTTTCCCCTGAAAATGTATGATTAGAGATCAACACCTGACAAGGTTGATATGATCTAACCTTTTGATGCCTCCTGCCTAGGTTGTTTGGTAATTCCCCGGATTTTATAATAACGCATATAAAATGTGAAGTAGGAAGCCTAGAACATATTCGTTGCACGTTTTAATTTCTCTGAGTCTATCTCGTGGATTGGGAGTTGATGCATTTACTATGTAGCTTAAATCAGTTGTGATTCCTTACAAAGCCATATACACTTGGCTCCTAGAAAGTTAAGACCCGCATGGCACTCACTCGTGACTTGACTACGAGCTGCAACTACACATCATAGCCCTCTTGTACTTGGGGACATCCCCACAGAAACGCTCTTCCTCTTCCTTGTGAAGACCCCATTCATCGTTGAACGGGTTCAAAGACATCTGCATGATCCGGTCTAGAATTTCTCGGTCTCCTTTGCGCTCAACACGTTCGATGATCTCGTCGAGAATCCACCCTCGAGGCACGAACTATCAATGGATTAGTCAATCTGCATTGGACCTCAGAAAGAAGATTTTAATGGATACTTACATTCGGATTGACAGATTTCATGGCCTTTTGTCTTTCCTCATCGTTTGCGGGGCCCCAGTCCTCCAGGATGCGAACCCGCCAGCTACCCAACCATTTCGCAATGCGATCTCGAGCTGTAGCTTCGGTGTATCCAATTCCACCGAAACCTTCAGCGTGGAAGAAGACCGAGGCCGCTTCCTTTCGGCCTTTTTCGGTCTCTAAATTGGATAGTGGCAGTCCCGAAAGCCGGCGGAAGAAATGGTTGAAGTCCAGTTCAAGTGCTTCAAGTGTGTCCAGCATCTCTGAGAAAAGATTCTGGAAGTCCAACTCAGCCTGCGTTTTGAGTCCTAGCCTCTGGCCCATCAAGCGCTTGTATTCATTTAGGAACAATGCTTTGAACTCCTCGCCCACACGCTCAATGATATTTTCCGCGCGTTTGATGAGCTCTGGTTCAAACTCCTCCGTCACCCCATTCTCGACGAAGCTTTCGTCGTCAACCCGGTTTCCCGCCCCAATCAACTCACCTAGTGACTCTCCGAGTCGGACCAGATTCCACCAGATAATGCTGGGTTGGTTGCGATAGGCATATCGCAGCATGTGGTCATCATGGTTCGGGGTGTACCGAGGGTCAAAGTTGTCCATAAACGCAAACGGACCGTAGTCTAGCGACAAGCCGTAAATGGATGTGTTGTCGGTGTTCAGCACGCCATTCATGAAGCCGTAGGCCTGCCACGCGGCCACTGTCTTCGCATTACGGCGAGCGATTTCCCGATACAGTCTAGCAAATCGATTCTCTTGCACATCCTCGTGTTCTTGTACTTGATCGCCGGCGATACCCCTCTGGGGATTATCGATTTGTGCAGAGGATTGTTGGTCACGCAGTGATACAATGGTGGGAAGGGATTCCCACCCGCTAAAAACATCTTCTGCAACATACGTCGCAAGCTTTCTGATCAGCTCACGATCTCCGCGAACGCGAAGAAGATCAAAAGTGCCGATCCTTAACCAACTCTCAGCAAACCGAGCAACAATTGCTCCTGGTTCAAGACGCTCTCGCAATACCTTGGCATTGGGGACTAAGGTGAGTGAGAGTGCCCGAGTGGTCGGTATACCAAGGGCAGAGAGAGCTGGCAATGTCTCAGTGGTATGTTCTGGAGTTTCTTGCAAGTTTGCTTACCTTCTGAGACCACGTATTCACGGATACTTGACCGGAGGACAGCTTTGCCGTCTGCGAAACGCGAATATGGTGTTTTGCCTGCTCCTTTCAATTGTAGCTCGTAACGCGTATTTGTCTGCGGGTTGGTGCATTCGAATAGACTGATTGCACGCTAGTTCATTGGCCGTTAGTATCTCTTGATGATGGTGACCGAGAACTCATTACAAAGTTTGCATGTTAACTTATTAACTTACCCCGTCTCCAAGTTGTCCAGCCCATGAACCACTACATGTTGTCAGCTGGTAACGATACTTACTCCCCGAGCTCTTTTTTTTAAGCTTACAATTGCCATCCTGTCAAGGTTAGTCTCTTTGGATTTCTCGTGCATGACAATATGGATACTGACCTCCATAACACTGCGCCCATGGGTAGATTCCACCCTGTTCCTCGTTCCACCAAATCTCATTCCCAGCGACCAGCGCCTTGAATTGTGATGTTTGTTCCTCGCCTGGTTTCAATCCCAAGTCTTTCATCGCCTTTGAACTGACTCCCAGGAGTTCTGGCTCATCAGTCTGCTCTGGGCGGATGTATGTGAACAAAGCTCCTTTGACCATACGAGGCCCTAAAGTTTCCCGTGGAGCGCTATGTGAGGATTCTGGTGTATCAAAAGCCGGATCAGATGGCAATTTAGATGTGAAAACATTTGATTTCGGTAATTCAGCCAGGGAGATCCCAGCAGTCGAAAGATGCGATACCATTTGGTTTAAACGATTCCGAAGGGACGGTGGCTGAAAGTTAGTTCGTGGAAACATACACCAATTTCTTGAATATGCGAGCACACGGAAGTTCATAGAGAGACTAATTGTTCAAGAATATGAATTGTGAAGTTGGTAGGTAAAGTATGGAGAGGAATCTAGGTAACTACCTAGGAAGGTAGAAATGACATAATTGACATTATTAATCATTGAGGTCCACGGGTGGCCTTCATCAGGTACGGCCTATATGACCGAGAGGTATCCACATAACAACTTCTCATCCTATATTTTGCAATTTGAAAACACATTGGAATCATGGCAAACGCCATTTCCTCTATTCCTATATTGGAGCTCAATGACGGTACTTCGGTCCCTGTCGTGAGTAATTTATGATTACATATAATCTGGCCCTGGCAATTTTCTCTAATAAAACATAGGTTGGATATGGCACTGGCACCGCGTGGTTTAAGAGGTCCATGGACACTGGTATCAATCAAGAATTGGTAGAATCAATCAAGACAGCAACGAAGCTAGGGTACCATCACCTGGATGGAGCTGAAATCTACCAGACTGAGGAGGAACTGGGACAGGCAATCAAAGAGAGCGGGGTATCTCGAGAGAAACTCATTGTGACGACTAAGGTCATCACCAATATTGCCGATATTTCCCACGCCATTGATACCAGTCTCAAGAAGCTCCAGCTCGACTATGTGGACCTGTAAGTG